TACAACACTGTACAACCGCTAACAACCACGTTTACGCAATTGTAGAATAGCCTTTATGCGTGGTCTACAATACGTGGAGTAAGCGTGGAGTAAGGAGTAAGGGAGAGCCCTAACTTCTAGCTTTTGGTGTAAGGAAGCTGAAATACGGGCATGATTTTTAAAATAATTGTAACACTGATTGATGGCATTTTGATTCACCGAGAGTAAGCCTAAGAGCTGAAGTAGGAGTAAGAAATAAAATGGATTTATTTCCTTACTCCTACTCCTTACTCCAGCTTACTCCATGTATTGTAGACCAGCCTTTGGTTAACCAATATTCCAATATTGTATCAATTTATATTAATAATATAGTATTTATATTAGTACATATTGTATTATAGTTTCAATATTAATCTTGTAATTATTATTGTATATTATTTATTCCATTGTCAATGTTGGCTTTACGTTGGGAAATATTGGCTAATGTATTTCCAAGTATTACAACTCGTACTGGGGCAGTGTTTATCCAGATAGCACATTTTCTCCGAGGAAAATTTTACTTGAGAAATAGATTGAAAGCGCTCAAAACAGTTTCGGAATGGCCGTCGAGTAAAATATTCCTCGGAGAAGAAGATTTTGGAATCCCGAATCTAAATGTACGTTCCTAAACTCATTAAAAAAAAAGGGCCGCAACCATTCTGTCACTATATCATAATAAACTTCTAACGAATAGAATACTTCAAGACAAACTGACCGTGGTTGATTCTTCAAGAATTCCTCAGACATTCAGTTTTCTAATTCTGCAGGTATTCTTTAAAATAAATTCTTTATGAACTTACGTTGTGCTATCTGGGGTAGCCAGTGTGTTTTACTAGCTTAGCTTAATTCATTCTTTGTCTTTTCCCAACTGTTACGTAAGACAGAGAGACAAACTTGAATTAAACTAACAATTAAAGTTAAATGACGTTGGTGAAAACGAGCATTAACGTTTAAAGCACCTCTACAGATTTTGAAATGACATGAAAGCACGTCGGAGCTGCGACTGGCTGTAAATCTAAAAAAAAGCAACGTAAAATTACATGAGCGACTCCGAATGTTGCCACAGATCGCGACTGGGACGCGATTCCGTTCGATAAAACGGAACCTCGACTCGGCGACGTATCGAATAAGGTTTACTGCTGATTTCCGCTCGTTCGCTCCACCTCAATCGCATTATTATCTTTACTCCGCGCACGACTTCGTAGGCTCGTGTATCTTGAATGATTGCGCGCAATAGCCCCTGTTTAAACCGGAGAAGCGGTGCCGCGCGCAGGCACACCGACGACGAAATGTAACAATAGGCCAGGCAGACGCGCGCGATTAGCAAACGTTTCGTGCGATCGTCCACACGGCAAATCGACAAAATCGAGTCTCTCGACTGATCTCTTCCGAACGTGACAGATCCGATTCGCTCGCCACCGAGGGGGAAACTGCTGACCAAAATCTTGTACAATGCCCACTAATGCCCAGTGGGCATTACTTTATCTTATTTATCTTGTTTAGCCTTATTTTATCTTTCTAATGCCCCAGCAAGGCCTAATGCCCAAACTAATGCCGCAAATCTGTACAGCACAGTGCCCTCAGCGGTTTACCCCTCGATTTTACCGGAGAGCGCGTTAAAAGTGACGTTGGACCAAACAGTTTGCGGAGCTTGCTGGAGAGCTTTCTCGGGAATAACTTAAAAGTTTGCGAAACTCTTTCGCATTTGTAACGCTGCAAGCGGAATAATTAGCGGGCGCCGTTTACATTAACTCGCGAACCTTCAGCTTAGGCTGCTAATTAAATCTGCGTTGAAGCCGGACGAATTTGCACTCCCGCGATTCGGCGCCTCGAGACTTTTACCTCCTCGACGAATAAACGTCGTAATTAAACGCGGACAAAGTTTGTCGACGTTTTATCCTTGTACGAGGAGGAAAAGAACCGTGCACGGTCATCGTGTTATTTTAATTCCGTTATTATTTGAAAAGCTGCTTAAAGCGTATTGTTCCGTTCAGCCTTGACACGTAATTCCGCGATTACATCATTAATGGTTGTCCGACGGATTAAGTGCGTAAGCGCGTGTATCGTTGGTATAGAATTCACGCCCTCGAATCGTTCTGCCTGGGAATATTGATGTAATTTTCCGCGCCGCAGTACTCGCGCGTTTCGTCACTTACCTATTATTTCTCGCCGAGTCACCGGCTGTCGTGCATGAAAGCGACCACGCGATTTTCAAGTGTTTATATTTGTTTCCCGCGACATTGCATATCTCGAGGCTGAAATTACGCCGAACTCCGTGGGTTTCGCAAAATTGTACTTCGAGGGCTGAACCGCTGATCAAAATCATGTACAACATCAATGCCTACACGGGGAGAGAACTTTCTCTTAAAATTTACCCTGAAAATCGTGCAATCGTGGGACAACCTGGCATTTTGAGCTTTATTCGAGTTTTTTCAAATTTTACCATACATTTTGCTAGTAAAATTTCAGAAAACTCGTAAAATTCTTCGAAATGCCGTATTGTCCCACGATTACATGATTTTCAGGATAAAGTTTAAGAGAAAATTCTCTCCCCGTGTACCAATGCGTTAAAATTCGACAGTAACACCCGCCAATGCCCAAAAATGCCGTAAATCTGTACACCATAATGCCCTCGGCTGTTTATTCCTCGTTTTACTTTTAACAGTACGGCGTAAATATTAACTTACCAAAAGTGGAATGGAACTTTTTTTACATTTTTTGTTTTAACATAACGACGTGATTTTAAAATGACTAATTACAAAATAACACGGCAAAACCGTACTTTTCTCCTCAAGTTATTCCTCGTTTTCATTTCGTTTCATATTTGCAATTAAATGCGAAACGGCAAAGGATGAACTTTGTATTATGTCCTTGCTCTTATCGCAAATTATTTCGCTGGTGAATTCAACGCTTTTTTTTAAAATAAGTTTGTTGTATAGACATAGTGAATATAGACTGAGGCTGGTATTCGTAGTCGATTCTTATTTAATTAAAAACACATTAAAGGCTAGTTTATGCAAAGCTGTAGCCGTTAACCTAGTCAGAATCGATAAAAATTAACCAGTTACAGTCAATTGTTCTCTTCACTTTTAGTTGCCAATGTTTACCGATTCCGACATAAGTTCACGATTACAGCCTAGCATAAATCAGCCTTAAGAGTATACTTAAGATAATGTTAAATGTAAGAACGGTCTATGAATACCGGCCTGAGCGTCCTATTGGATAAGCTGAAGCTTGTGAAGAGAGAGACAGAGACAGAGACAAGATTTAACAAGACGTTCTTTCTCTGTCTCACCATCGTGACAATTTCACGCCTGTGTAGCACTGCGCAAGCACAATTCTTTTCTTTTACGACGGTGTAAGACAGAGAAAGAAAGTCTTCTTAAATCTTCTCTTCCTCTCTTCACAAGCTTCAGCTTATTCAATGGGACTGAAATCTATATTTACTATGTCTACGTTGTTGCAACAATGGGAAACATAGCATTCGTTCGTTTGAACGCTGCGAAAAAAAAACACGAGGGGATTATTTACGTTAAAGCGCGATATTTATATTAAAAAGGGAGGAAATAGGCGATAAGTTAGTTTCTGCCGCGTACGATAATGCGGCAACATTGTCCGGGGCAGCGTGATGAATCGCATTTGCATTCGATCAGTGCGCGCCACAATGAATTTCTGAAACGCGTAATTATCATACGTAATGATATAAAATCGATTGTATAAAAATAGCCTTCAGTTTTTGCCCGGTGTTTCTGGATGACGCGCGCATTTACAATTTTATACCAAGTTAAACCGATTATTCACGCGCGATATTTTACGAAGCCTCGTTTACGCCGTTGAACGTATTTCGAGTCGTAACTGGGTAAATATTAATAGAAATGATTATTTCATCGGTGAAGATCCCGTGGGCGATCTATTTAACGACTTTCACGTATATTCGTGGAACTAAACTCGTGAACGAGAAAACAATTTTTAATCAGAGTTAAATAAGGCCGTTATATGATACAAATCAAACAAACGAGAGCGCCTATAGGTCCGAGCAAGATGTTGGTAGCCCAATTGTGATCTGAAATGTGAATTCATATACCGTTTTCCACCTTGTCCTGCCCGCCGGGTTTTAATGTTAGGTCGCGTCGCAAAGTGCCGACTTGTCGAGATATACGTCGCAGAAAGACGTACCTCCGCTCGTTATTTACGTCAGTAAATGATACGTTCTTATAAGTAGCCTATACGGAACAATGAGACGCGTTAAAATAATTATAATTGCAGATTTGCGCTTGATTTCTTGTCCACAGGTAAATGTCAACTGAAGAGCAAACACGAGGCAGAATGCAAACTTCGCGGATCCTAGGCGTGTGCCATCGCCTGATAGAACTAATTGTGAGAGGAATATTGTTGTTAGTCGCCTTCGTCAGAGGCCCGGCGGAATCTCAACCACCTATCAAGGATTTAACTCTCCTGTACAGCGCAACCACTTTAGCGTTAAAAATTCGCAACAAGCATGTAGGCACTCTTTACTCTTTGTACACTGAAACTTTTTGCTCGAATGAGCGATAAATTTGAATAACTCGCTTTTTTTATCAGCTCCTACCAGTTATCATTTTGTAGTCAGTCCTTCGAATTATCTGATAACGTGGCGAAGTTTTGTTTGTGAATCGATCTTCTATTTGTGATTAATAGCATTGCGATGCTTATCTTAAACATAATAAATACGAAATCACAAAGCTTGCATAACAGGGACGTATTTTATGTTTTGTCATTCCACTAAATCGTTTCTTCGAAGCGTAAGAGAACTGGATCCGTGTCGCTATAAATATGTTAATAAAATGACCAGGATAAGCCTTATTGACTGTCTACACGACACACTTCCGCCAATGTCGGCTAAGTTGATCACGCAACTGCTTATTCACAGTTAACTTCGGAAGATGTGGTGTCTTCGTATATAGAAAGAATCAAGGAGATTCAACCGATACTCAACTGCGTAGTCGCGGAACGCTTCGAGGAAGCTCTCAAAGAAGCGAGGAAATGCGACGAACTGTTAAAATCTCAGGACGCTCCGTCCGTGGAGTATCTGGCCAAGGAGAAACCATTGTTTGGCGTACCTTTTACCACCAAGGTAACTTGTTACTCGTATATTATTTATTACTTAATTACATTAGAGGTTGATAGTAGATCAGACAGCGATTAGGCTTTTACCTTTTGCTATCTATTGTCGTAATTATGCGATTCTAATCTAAGAATGCTATTTGTATTATTGCAGGACTGCATCGCGGTCAAAAACATGCGGCACACGGCCGGTCTAGTTGTACGTAAGAACACTATCGCTGATAAAGATGCAGAGGTGATAAAATTAATGAGGTCAGCTGGAGCCATACCTCTGGCGTTGACAAATGTTTCAGAACTGGCAATGTGGTGGGAAAGTAGCAATTGTCTATTCGGTATCACCAAGAATCCTTACAATACAAGGTACAATATATCTTATGTCATCGTAAACGTCAATATACTGCGTAATAAATTGCTTCGTAAAAATTATTTGAAACTTTGTTATTTATCGATACACGCTTTCGATAAATAACAAAGTTTCAAATAATTTTACGCGTAAATAATTATTGAAGTTCTTTAACTTAATGCTCGGTGTATATTACAAATATGCCAATAGGCAACGATTGCGAAATTTCTTCAATATAATTGTGACTTGTATCCAAGTGTATGACAAAAATCATAAGAAGACTTAACCCTACAGGAACTCTTATTTCATCGTTATCCACTTTCAGACATATTGTAGGCGGCTCTTCGGGCGGTGAAGGCTGTATACAAGCGGCAGCTGGATCACCGCTTGGAATTGGCTCGGACATTGGTGGCTCTATTCGTATGCCGGCATTCTTCAATGGGATTTTTGGCCATAAGCCAACTAAGGGTGAGGAAGATTGAGGACTTGGATAACACGTGCGTTTCCTGTTATGTGTCCGCATTGTTAAAACATCACATTTTCATTATAGGACTTGTGTCGAACGATGGCCAATATCCCAGTGCACACAGCTATGAACAGGATCAATTACTTGCAATTGGACCTATGTGTAAACACGCGCAGGATTTGTCGTTAATTCTTAAAATTATTGCAAACAAAAATGCCGACTTATTAAAGTTAAATCAGAAAGTTGACATTTCGAAAATCAAGGCAAGTTGACTTATATTTAAAAAAAATTTGACTAACATTGAAAAAAAAATTCAATTGTTATTTCTTTAATCTAATCTTACTTCGTATACGCATGCTTTTGCAGCGAAGTATCAGGATTAATAATTTGTCATGCGATAACCCCAGATAACATGCATGTCTAAAAGACATCTTTAAGACGTCTTTAACACGTCTTTTAGACATCTTTTAGACATACACGTCTAAAAGATATCTTAAAGACGTCTTAAAGAAGTCTTGAAGATGTCTTTTAGACAAGCATGCTATCTGGGAACCAGGAAACGATATTTCTATGTGATTTTAGCTCTATTACATGGAGGATGACGGTGGTCAGCACTTGCTTTCGCCAGTGGATCCAGAGATAAAAGTTGCTATGAAGAGAGTGGTGAATTATTTCGAGAAAGCGCACAAAATTAAAGCCACAAAATTAAACGTAAAGAAGTTCAAGAAGAGCATGGCCCTCTGGTTGGCGAACATGGCGTGCAAGGATGAAAAGGACTTTTCATACGAGCTAACTAATAGAACTGGTCAACTTAATATCTGGTTGGAATTCATTAAGTGGATGTTATTTATGAGCAATCACACTTTGATCGCTCTTCTCACTGCCATGTTCGAGAAATTTGGTGTGAAACATGGGAGTGAGATACATGTACGACTTATGCAACAGAGTAAAGACCTTAATCAAGAATTCAAGGTACCGCTACGTTTTGTTTCTTTATATTGTAAAATTTTAATATCAAAGTGTACTTCGAGTGTCACCATGATGCATACATGGAAACACACGCGTGATGTTTAATATTTTTCATATTATTTTAGGATATTTTGGGAGAAGACGGTGTGTTTTTGTATCCAACCCATCCAACTGCAGCTCCAATGCACCATGAACCGTTGTGTAAACCATTCAATTTTTCTTACACTGCAATCATAAACGTGTTAGGCCTACCAACTACGGCTTGTCCATTAGGTTTAAATAAACAAGGACTTCCCATTGGAATACAAGTGCGTATTGGTATACGATATTCTTAAAATGGTGTGCAAAGTTAAAGGAGTGTTTTATTTGTGTATTTTAAATTACACACTTCAATCATATAGGTCGTAGCGGGACTTTATCAAGATCATTTAACTTTCGCTGTTGCGGAAGAGTTGGAGCGAGGTTTCGGAGGATGGGTACCACCGGCAATAGTAGCTTGACGTCAATACTGTCATAGACAATAATTTTATGAATGAATGACACACATATAGCCTCATCTTACCAAACCCTGCCATCTTTCTCTGGCAAAGTATTATATTTATATTAAAGATTTTCGTGTAAACACACTATCGAGGTAAAGTACAAATTATATATGAGTATATATACATATACATATAAATACACATATACATAACATACATATAACATAAATATACATATATAGGTACATATGTATATATAGACATATTTATACATATAATATATACGTATGTATGGTGTGCTTGATTTAAGCGTGTATACTCAGTTTTTTTAAATAATAAAGTTATAAAAACTGTGTGTTTTCAAATAAAAATTTTATTTAAAAACTATACGGTGACTGCAGCAAATTAAAACAAATTTTCTTTAGCAATGCAAGTGACAATAACTGAAAATCACACTATATCAATATTGAATTTATAAAATATCTTATATAATTTGTATATAAAGTAAATATATTATTTCACATTAAAAAATATAACTAGAGAGTATTAAAAATATAAAAACAATTTAAAACTTGTTTAAATTTTTACAACTTTTTTATTTAAAAACTAACAGTGTATATACTTACACTAAACACACTATATGTACATATATATGTGTATGTGTGTGTATATATGTACACGTACTTATGCTCGATATGCATTTCTAATCTAAAATTTCTTATACAATATTTGATATTCCGTAAGTTTCATGATGTATAATAAGTTTAAATGGTATGATTATGTTGCGACTTTTGCATTTACAAAATTCCAAGGAAACATTTGTATTATATGAATATGTAACAATCTTGTGACCAATTGTTTATTAGGAATTCCGTGAAACAATATAACGATCAATGTTACGATATTAACATATGCATATAGCCAATCGTATTGAGGATGCCACCTAATTCAACATAAAATAAGAACATCGCGGTGTACATACGCGCGCTCTTACATGAAACGGGAAGTTCTAAAGTTTTTTTTTTCAAAACGAAACAGGAAAAATGTATGTATACAAATATTCAATTTTATGTTGATATTTATATATTGGATTGCAGTATTTATATACCTCAGACTTCTACGTAGCATTTTCTATTTTCGTACGTGATGTATGCGAAATCAGATGGTAGCAGGGTGTTTCTGGTAATATGTGATAAGACCTTCGATAGTTATTTAAGACATGTATTGATGTTGAGATTTATACATATATATTTTATCTACCGACAGAGAAATAAATTTTTATTACATTATTTCATCACAATTATATCCTCATATCCGTTGTTCTTTTTTTTTTTTTAGCATTACTAACATGCTGACTAACGTAAACTATTTTATTGATATGTGTTCGAGAAAGTATACCGCATATATATTTTATACTTCGCTTAGCTTCTCGAATGTTCCTTAACCGGGACGTACCGTTCGAGAGACCAGGGCTGTTATTGCTTTCTCGTTTCTCGAGCTCTACGTCGTAGGTCAACTCGAACTAGTCCGGAATAATACCGTGGTTATCGGTCCGTGTTTAGAGTCGAGCGCGAACGATCGAATTTCGAATAGATAAGGCTCAACTAGTTGCCGGCGAAGGAGACCGTCCGCGCTCTCGGAGACACTTGTGATCGTAACTTCAACGCGGAGAGATCGCTCCACGTTAGATGTAAATCGGAGTTGACGTAATTAAAGTATTTCTTAACGAAAATTTCCGAGATTAATTAATCTCCACTCTGCTCCGGCGAACAAATAAATATTTTCGGTGGACGCGCGTAATAAAAGGGAAACGCGCGAACAATATGAATATTTCCAAAAAGCAAGATAATTGTTTAGCTTAATTAAATACTTTCGCAAGTAGTACAAGATAAATGAAAAAAATGCAGATTGTAAGTTGTCGCGTTTAAAATATATAATTTTAAGTTAAATATATAATAATATATCACATTGCGTCAAAATTATCGTACATTTAGATGCAGTGCATAATAAATCACGTCTTATTGTTAGAGTTCTACAAATACTATCTTTATGTTACATAATATATGTGTAATATGTAAAAGGCAAAACACAAACAATTTTATTGGTGAGATAAACAGTCGCTGGAAGAATAAGTTTCGATACGTTTAAAATACAGCTAAGTTTGTAGGCTGAGAAAAATTGAGTTTAGTTCGTAGATGCTTTTAAAGCGTCTATGCACGTTGTTTACAAAAATATGTAGACTGTATCGAAAAAATATATTTATTTTGCTATTAAGTACGAAGCGTGATCTCCATAAAACTAGGGCTGTTACTTTTGATAACTTCGAAGATTCGAGGCTTCGAAAACTTTACTCGTGCGAGTGGCGAATTTATTGTAAAATATTGCATTACACTGTGTAGTATGCAGAATTTATTAATATAATGATTGTAAAATATGACAAATAGGTTATTTCGAACTTGGACGAGATTCGTAAATCATGATCACAATTCTCCAGCAAAGCGTGATTAAACAAATATATAATATACATATGTTATAATACTTCAAAATTATAATTCAGAAGTAATTACCTATTTTTCAGCATATATAAATTAATACTTTTTATTTGCAATATTTTTTATGTTCTTTGAATAAATTCGCCACTCACACGAATAAATTTTTCGAAGCTTCGAAGTGATTCGAAGCTTGGAAAGTTCGAATGTCGAAGCCTTCGAAGGAAATCACCAGTTCTAGATAAAACTGCATTATTTGTAAATGTGTATGACATTATGTGACATGAGTATGAACTTCCACGAAGTCTCATATTCACTCGTTCTTCAACTCTCATAACAGCAATTAAAGAGGCATTTGACCATAACACACCCGATTCCCGTGTTAAAATGTGTAAAGAATGATCATGAAATACCATGAACGGCCCTTATCTTTCTATTACAGCCCTGTGATACTAATTACATCTTTTAGGAAGAGCTGCCTATATATAATTTGTAAAACAGGTACCACAGTTTTAACAATTGTCATAATCGTATAATACTGTAAAAAAACAGAATATATCGTGCTTTTTTTTATAAGCTTCAGTTCAAATTTAATATTTTTGCACGTTTCACGTAAGTACAGTTTAAGGGTAAAAACGTCCGAGGGCTTTTCAGTGCGCTTTGAATTCTCACTTCTAACGGTATTTTAGGATCGATATAAAAATTTCACCTTCTGATTTTATACATTCTAGGAGAGCTTCCGGAAATCCGCAACCAGAGAAGCACCAAACCAAATTACACTTAGGAAGATAGTCCAGAAGGAAATGCGCTGCTATTGTCGATAATAAAAAGAAATTACAATGTCCCGAGAATATTGGAGTTTATTCGCAGAATCGCGTCGCTTGTAAGAAGAACTCATTGTCAGCGGGAAGAGATTTCTATCAGCAGGCATTACAAGTACTTAGATCTACGGAGATCGCCGTTACGTTATGAGATTCGTTTTTTCCGACGGCGTTTCGCTGTTGCCGGTGGCGATGAGAGCTTTCCCTTCCAATCTATTGTCTAGCGAGTTGTCCTTGCTGCTCTCGCTGCACGTCCTGCTGTGGATCATCTCGAACTCGTTCAAGTTGATGTCCGCGTCGAGGAACTCCAAGTCATTCGTATCCCTGGGCCGATCCGTTCCGTCGTCGCGATGATGCGTCTCGTCTAGATTTCCGTTAGTGATTCGTTCGTGTAATTGTTCTTTGACGCCGTCCTCGCCGTTTCTTGTCGCAAGTCCCGTCGTCTCTTTCTGCCCGTTTGATCGCTTATTTATCACATTTAGCTCCACGTCCAACCGCGTCGCCCTCCCGGTGGAGCGCTTCACGTGATCGTCGGAGTTGTTCAGAGATGTTTTATCCGCGTTCGTCGAGACGTTCGGGCTATCGCTCGTCTGAGGGTCTCCGTTTGCGGTTTCCGATCCGTCTCGAAGGCTGGGCGGTTCTTGCACGTCGATGTGACGCTCTTTTCCCTTTTTAGCGGCGGCGGCAGCGGCGAGCTCAGCCTCTTTCATCGCCGAGTGGATGACCGGCTCGGCCCACAGTCCCGGGTTGAAGGCTGGCCCCGTTCCGCCGAGCTCCGCCGGCAGGATGTCCGTCGGCAGGTGTTCGTGAAGCGTACTGAGATTGTTGCCGTGCAGATAAATCTGCGAGGAGAGAAAAGAACGATAACATCTTCTCGCGCTTGGCGATTATCCGTAACGAGCCTAAATAATAATTTGTAGCCGTTTATGCATCATACGACCGATTTACCCCGGGCATTCACCTTGTCCTATGTTGTTCCCGCTGATTACGTTGGTTACACGAGCAACGGAAATCAATTACACTATCTTCTAGGCGTGACAAACACGGGACGCTAAATCGGAGTTAAACTGATCAAGCCGGTCGATCCGCTTGCGTGCGGACGTGATAATAAATTTTTACGACAACCGCCAATAAAAGTTTACAGTTATAATTATTCCTCGGCGCGGCAGCCTCGGTCATATGCAACGTATCTCGGAATATGATAATTATGTAACGCATCTCAGAAATTTTTTACTCGCGCTCGTGCATGCCTCACCTTATTCCGCGTCTTCTCGTCCAAAAACGGCTTCACCAGGGCGAGAGTCGCTTGGACGTAGAGCGGCGCCGAGAGGAAGTGTATCGCCTTGAATCGGGCGGGGAATCGCCCACGTAGAGCAGCTATTAGGTTTCGCAGAGCCGCTGCCCCCAGCGCGCCGCCCTGCCGTAACGAGAATCCGCTCCAGTCTATCACGGCGACGAAACCGGATTGCTGAAAACAAAAAAAGGAGCGTGGGTCATCGTTGAAATGTTCGGACGGGTTGTAATAGTGCCCAGCGACTCCAGCGTGGACGCCGAGCCTAGACCGGTCGTCTAGCTGATTCAGCTGAATGAAACCCTGATGTAAAAATACTAGGTGAAACATTGCGCATGTAAGCAATTTTTAGGGGCAAATTGTTCACCGGCTGCATTCAATGATGTGCAGCTTGAAGGTTTGGGGCAAATTTCTGATGGGCCATGAGTGCGCATCCAAGGAAATGTTAGGCCCGGTCTACAATGAGTTGTTAGTCGTTAGTCAGAAGTCGGAACTATATGTCGGTTCTTTTTCTTCTACCCAGAAAGGAAAAGGATCAACATATAGTTGCGACTTCTGACTAACGACTAACGACTCATTGTAGACCGGGCCTAACATTTCCTTGGATGCGCACTCATGGCCCATCAGAAATTTGCCCCAAACCTTCAAGCTGCACATCATTGCGGTTGAATGAATACACCTGAATGAATGAAACGACACCGGTTGCCGTTGACTGAACCTTAGGGTCCGTTAAGTCCAATCTACAATGTGCTCTTTGCGTTCAGAAACTGGCTGGTAGCCACGCAGAAAACATTTGTGCGCGCGAATATCTAGCATTATGACGACGCACTGGGATAGGATTTTGCTTGCGTTGTTGAGCCAGTTTTGTACGCGAGTTGTTAGATATTTGCGCGCAAAATTATACGTTAATACATGAGCTAACCACTTGCGTGCAAGAGCACAGACTAGCCATATCTTACGAACAAAACTCCGGCAAATCTCGTACAAGTGCACGAGAATAAGACAAGCAAAATTTGCACGCAAGAATCCTAGTAGCACAGTGCATTGGCTAAACGTTGGCTAAATATTGTCCGACGTAAAGCCAATATTGGCTAAGGAATAAATGTAAATATTGCACGATAATAATTATATAATGTTAGATCTATATATTGGCCAATATTTATCAATGTAATAAGAATATTGGACTAATATTGTTTCAATATTGGACCAATATTGGCTAAATAAGAGAAGGCGTCCATCTTACAATATTGGACCAATATTAGGAATACTAGACTTACATTATTTCCCAATATTGCGCCAATATATTGTGCTACTAGGGAATTGTTATCTGGGTAATAAATACGTTTAAAAAATTTGTGCAAATTGGTAAATTGTACGTTATACGTTGTATGTACAATCGTACGTTGTCGACGAATTTTTTCGAATGTTTCTAGACGCAAAGAGACGCATTGTAGACTAGGTGTTAGAGACGTGTTATCGTCCAACTTTGAAGGTGTGGCTATAAGAATGTACGCGTCCAAGTGACGCGAATTATAACATTGAATTTATTTCTATACTCGCTATTATTAATTATTTTTGTAGTTGTAATATTTTGTAGTATTGAATTTGTATTAATGAAGAACTTGTATTTTTGTGATTTCACGTCAAGACAGAGAAGCTGTAGCCTTAAGATACGGTGAGCTCTTAAAAAAATATATACATCGCTTTAGAAATATAGCGAAAGCAGTCACTGGGTAATAGCTGATGTGGACTAAACGAGCTACTAAGAAATGGTGAATGCCGCACCTGATTTCGAGGATCTTGAATAAGTATCTCCAGAACTAAGAAGATCGCTCGTTGCACGGACAACGCTGGCACGGCCACGGGGTCCCATTGCGACGCCAAAATAACCAGCACGCATCTCCCTTTCCTATAGCAAGTCACGATAAAAACATGAAACAATGAAATTAAGGTAAATGACTAATAAGCACTTATTACAAATAGATTTTTGTTTTAGTCCACGTTATTAAAGCAATAATTAAGAGAATAATATTGTACAATAACGCAATAATAATAAACACAATAATAAGATCAGGCAATAAGAGTCAAACGCGGGTAATAGAGCGTATTAAAATAACATTAATACATAAAGAAATTAAAATTAAAAAATGAATTTCGACTTCTTTTTGGATCATCTTCGGCGCAGTAAAAATATACAAAAGAATAAATTAATTAAAGGTGGCCAAATCACATTAAACAGTAAAGTGAAAAAAACGGTGCCGCTAAGTAAAATAAAATTCGCGTTTTCTTCCTGAAAAGCTTGGATCGCCGGAAGCATTTAAATATTGGGTAAATAGCCTGATCAAGAGTACGTTTGCGTTCGTGTAAAAAAAAATGTACGTGTTAATATTTATGTGCAGGGCGAAGCTTGTTAGTCACGCGTTTTCCGGCACGTACGCGGCGCGTGCCGATAGCGACGGAAAGGATAAGGCCGACGTCACACTATCCATTTTTATCGGCGAAAACGAACCGGTAAAAACGGATAGTGTGACAGCAGCCTAAAGGCCTGCTGTCTTCTGTTCTAGTTTCGAGAAATGTGTAGCCAATCAACTTGCGTCCATTCCATAAAAGCATTTCTCGAAGCTAGTACTTGGACCAGGTTCTAGCATCGTGGACACAGGCCTTAAGAATAAAATGAGCAGGGGCTCGATTCTCGAATTCGTTCGAAAGAGAAACGTATGCGAAAATTCTTCTCTCACGGAAAAGTTGAAAGTCGATTGGTTACAAATCATGCGAATAGCCAATCAACTTGAAACTCTTCCGTAAGAGCAGAAGTTTCGCATACGTTTCTCCTTCGAATGAATTCAAGAATCGAACGCCAGTGCGTCCGTCGCAAGACTGGCTCGGCTACGGAGATGATATAGTTCGTTACCTGTCACGCGCGGGCAGGACACCCGGTATGCCTGCGCGGAGCGCGCGCTGCAACGCCGGGTCCCGGGCGGTGAGATTGCCGAAGATATCCTGGCGATGCGTTATTTGCGCCTGATAAGCGGCTATCAGGGCCGCCGCCTGCTCAGTGCGGTACTTCCGGGCTAGCAGGAAGCGCGTGATATACTCGTCCGTGCAATGCTCCAGGTCTGGGAACAGCAAACGGCGGCCGTCATTGGCGATGCTACTCGCGATCGGAAGTAATTCGAATGCAAATAATCCCCGGAAGCGTAATACGCGACATACGCCGAACATATTAATATTCTTTTCCAATCGTCGACCCTTCGCGTTTTCGTAATTAATTGAGGCAACGTTAACCTTCGTAGAAGTGGCTATAAATATCTTCGGTTGACCGAACGATAGAATAGCTGGGCTTTCGTACTTTGTCTCCCGTTCATTCGATCATCACTGCGGGTCGCCTTGTACTTTGATCTTGTGTTGAAGGTCGTCTCAAGGTGTGATCTTGAGAAATTGTGCAATCGTTTCTAAGTCTAAGCCTGAATTTGAGACGATCTTGAATATAAAATTAAATGTAAAATAAATATTATCGCTCAAATATACTATTTAAATGAGGCGCAAAGTCCTCCCAGATGGCACAGTAAATTCGCAAAGTATTCTTCAAGTTTTCTGCCTAATGTGGGGTCTACAATGTAGTCTCAGAGTCGTAGTTGACTATGATTGGTCAATTCTTATGTGTCTAACTGAATTAACTAATTACAGTCGGTTATTCTTACAACTGCCACTCTGGGACTCGCATTGTAGACCCCGCATTTCTAAATTGTAATCCTTCAGGAATTCATAGAAGAACACGATAAGAATGATTGGGAAAATTGCACGTACCATAATGAACTTCTGGCGAATACTTCAAGACGAACTGATCGTAGCTGATTCAAGAATTCTTCTGATATTCAGTTTTCTAATTCTGCAGGTATTTCCTTTAAAATGAATTCTTTATGAACTTACGTTTACCTTTGTGCTATCTGGGATCCTTACAGTAAACCACTTCTAGGAAGGCTTAGATAATAAAAATAACTTCCCTCGGAAGGATTATAACAGATTCCTCTCAGACGAAAACTGCAGTTTCAACGTCAAACCGGTAGATTTGTTGAAACGTTAAAATGACACGCTTAGATATTTTTGTAAATACACGGAGAGAATTTTCCCTTAAAATTTATCCCAAAGAACTTTATGATACTACAATAATAAAATGTATACTAAGTATAATTACAAGTGTGAAATGTACGGTAAATTTTTAATTAAAAATTAAAACACGATCACATGATTGTCAGGATAAATTTTAAGAGAAATTCTCTCCGTGTAGTAGACCCAATAAAGTCCGTTGGCAGTCATTGCAGTTTCACCTCACCTACATCCGGCATTTGTCGAAGTATAGACCTGACAGTCTTAATAGCCAGCTTCTTATCACGTTTATCGAATCTGCCGCCCTCTTCGTAAATGCTAAACGCCAAACTGCTGCGACCACGAGCGGGATCGCACCACATATATTCGCAGTACTCGGACATCTTTCCTCCCCTTTCCGGAGACACGCGTCAATGATCTGAAACATTGCAACAAGACAACAAATTTGAAGTCAATAGATGAAACACAGGACCGATATGAATCTAATGAAATACGAATAATTATAATACGTCATTTCTTTCTGCTCAGAGGTGGGTCTTATCTACCCTAGTTGCACAGTGCATTGGCTAAACATTGGCTAAGCATTGGTCCAATGTTGGTTATATTAGAAATGCATTGGCCGATATTGTCCAAATATAAGCCAATATTGGCCATGGAATAAATGTAAATGTTGCACGATAATAATTATATAATATTAGATTTATATTGGAAGTGCATTGACCCATTCTACCAGTTCTACTGCGTTGGTAGAAACGGGCATTAGAAAGACAAAAGGACGCGCTCGTTCCGCCTGAAAAATGCGCGCGCGGAAACGCTTATCGCGGAGCCGCTGATGTTTCGTTTCCATTTCCGACTTATTTAATTTACGTGACCCCTCACCGGGACGGCACGGGTTTGTGTTTTATTATCAACGAGACGGACAACGAGCGAGCGACACGAGCGAGGAGAAACGCGCCCGTTGGCAAAAGCGCGACGCGCTCTGAATCATACGTAGCGCGTCGCTCGACTACACACCGGGCAACAAAGAGAACGTGCGTTACGTCCGACGGCTGATTCGCAAAGTGGCCTACGTTAGCTTACGAGCCGCTCCCATTGAATAAATAACCCGCGATTTATCTCGTGAACGTTTCCCGTCTCGATAATTCGCGATTTCACGTTTCTCGATGCCGGGAGTCAACGCGAAATAGCGCGCGCGCGCGCGACTCGTACTCGTTATGTACTCGGAGGATAAGTTAAATCCGAAGAACATCTAGAGAGGTGGCATGTGCGAATCAAGATTTTTTTTATTATATCGATACTTTTTGGTTTGAATCCAAAAGAGCCAACCACGTTCTATTCTCACAGCCCCGGTGGTCGAGCTGGCTAAGACGCCCGTCACGGATTTTAGGGAGGTCCCAGGTTCGAATCCTGGCTGGGGTAATATTTTTCGCAATAAGAATTTTAATCGCCAGATATGGTCAACAAAATCACCAATATTGTTAATTACTACTGGCAACTTTTAAGAATATTCTTACTAGTTGATAAAAACATGGTCTACATCTTTGGCACATAATTGTACAGAAGATGAGCAGATGGAGGAAACACTAATGTTGCCAACATTAATGTTGCCTCGATCTGCTTATCTTCTCTGCAATTATGTGCCAAAGATGTAGACCATGTCTTTATAACATTAATGTTATTTAAAGACAAAGTGAAGCTAAAGAAGCATTCTATAGGATTTCTGATGATTGTAGGTACATTTTATTGATTCCCCTTAGGGTTACAAGGCGTTTTTGAAGGAACGTGCCCAAACCTCTTATAACACCTCTCTCTATATCCACTTCTCTATGTGGCGATCGAACGAAAAACCAACAATGTTTTGTTTGGTTTTGAACCCAGGTCTTCGGATTACCAGACCAGCGCACAATCCTCTGCGCCACGATCGCCAACTACAGAAATAGCTGGTATAATTTGACGTACTTAATCCAAGTAATAATTCATAACCAAGATTATTATTCCGACATGCTCAACAGTTGTATAACAATTACTAATATTTTATAAGACGTCTTTATTTCCGTTTTCATATATTCAGCGAAGAAATCAAAATTGATTCTGCATTGGGTAGTCGGACCCTTACGTATGTGGATCAAGATCCAGATGCATTAGATTGTATCGCTGTCGTAATTTCTGGTGCGATAAAGACATAAAGACATGGTCTACATCTTTGGCATATAATTGTAGAGAAGAGGAGCAGATCGAGGCAACATTAATGTTATTTAAAGACAAAGTGAAGCTAAAGAAGCATTCTGTAGGATTTCTGATGATTTATAACTCGTTTTATACGGAAATAACAGACGCACTTAAAATGATAGTAAATTTATTCACAAGATTATTTCCCGAGGTTAGGTTAGCAGGTTGCTGTAGTTTTGCTGTGTTTGGAAAAACTGCCGTTGATGAAGACAGTGAGTAATCTTTTCTTTCCTTCTTATTATTAGTGGAAACATCGTATGCCTACCCCAGTGAGAAATGATTCGTCGATCGATGTCGATCCGCCATCGTTTCTAACTGAGTACAGATCAGTATATGATTTCTCCTTTTGTTTCAGGAAACGGCAATGAGCAACGTGAATCTAAGAAATCTGAACTTAACTTTGATGCTTCAGTTGCTGCGGTTTTAATAACGCTTACACTTGGCGCGAGACACTACCGTGTCTCGTGATAAACAGAAGCGCGACGAGGCTCGGACTCGAAGGATTTCATTTTGCATTTCACTTTTTCCCTCGCGCTAACAGCGATGCCCGGCGCATTGCCCCAAGGATGATTCACCAGGGGAACCGTCCTTGCATGAAGACGAGCGTCATGCGAGCGCTCTTTCGACCGGTTCGGAATAATTATTTCGCGAAAGTTTCGCATGACCTTGCAACGGGAGAGCGAGCGAGCGAGCGATCGATCGATTTCGCGATCCCTTACACTTTCCAAGCGGCCGGCCCGGTCGAGACGCGCGCAGTCGAATTAATCACCTCGGGACACGACATTTTGAGCAAAAAATCAGATTTTCCGTCAGTGCAGCGCGAAGTCTTGCCGAGACATCGCGATCGCGACAAAGTCGAATCGGAAAACGAAGCTATATGCGTTCGCGTTTCTGCGAGAAAATCGAAGAAGATTGAGGGACAGATTTGACTTTCATTTTAAAATCAATTATACGATGTTGATTATTATCAACGCTAACGAGCCGCGATGAATGAAGCGATGAGAGCCAAGATAATCCGCGAATGTTGATGAATGAAATTGAGAACGGTCGCGATATCCTGAGCGGCGAGCCGGAGCCGGTTTCAGAAACGGTACTCGGGCGTCTCGTAAGTTGATGAAGAACGTAAAGTCATCAAAATCGTTGCCCGCGTATAAATTATGTCGCAGAGTTTTCCTGTCGCAGGTCACTGATCTCGAATCCGTGATACACGGCAGAAATATTCCATATACGTAGCTGTTTCGATGAATTGCGCTGATTGTGTATCCGATTAATAGATGCCCATTCGAGAAGACAAATAGAAATCTAATGAAAGCAACATTCGTCAAAACAGGCCTGCACAACGTGGCCTAATTCGTGCCGTTACGTCAGACTTATTTCTGTCTCGGTGAAGCTTACCGAACCGATAATTATTGCCTCGGCAACGGGCCTACCAGTATGCAAATTAAAAGCGACGGGGAGAAAGAAGAAAAGTAGACGCGAAGAACGATTACGTAAGGATTACAAAGCCTCGGTAGAAGTGGGTAAAAATCGGCGTGAAAGAGAAGGCGCAAGGTACACGGTACTTACAGCGTACGCGGAACCCCTTGTGTCCAGGTCCCGGAGGGTAGAGAAATTCTCGATTCCTAATCGGCGAACGCGATGGCGAACGAAATCGTCGATGTACCTGACGCGTCCGAGCGAGCTGTGCGCGCGATGAAGAGTCACTTGGACTCGCGGCGGCCGATTCGTTCGAAAGTGTCAGAGCGTTGAGAAATACGAGACGGAGAGCGAGGGGTAATAACCACAACGGGATTATTACGGTGCGAGAGAGACAAAAAGAAACGGAACGGAGAGAGAGAGAAAGAGAGGGGAGGGACAGAGAGGGAGAGAGCGAAAGAGAGAGGAAAGCCCGAAGCCGGTTACCGATTTGCCGTTGACTCACCGGCTCCGTGTTCGCCTTGCACCCCCGCTATTGTGATCTCGTCGTTGCGATCCCCGAAAACTTGTTCACGGTCCACTAGGTGACTAGACGCGGAGTATCGCGTGGCGCGCGACTGGCGCCGTGATTATCGACGAGCGGAAGGTCGTCGGGGAGACGTGAGTGGGTGGCTGAAGTATACATAACTTTTGCATTACGAATCGAGAGATTGTCTTGGGGCATTTCTAGGATTTTAGTCCGTGAAATTTCTGTCTGTCTGGGCGAGGGGAAAAGAGTTTTCTTGGGGTGGATTTCAAAAGGTCCCGTGCGACACCGCAAGATTGTAGCAACGATAAAATGTCAGCTTTCAGAAATATGAACATATAACATTGTAGTAATGGTTCAACATATTATATTATTGTAGATTTGACACAAGTCGGCATAATAGCTTCATTAATTTAATTTAATCCAAATAAAATAAACGGCACGATTTTTCACATAAATTCATACAACAGCACGTAAAGGAGAATTTTTGCTCTTTGCAAACTTATTTATACTTGTATGTATAATAATAAGTAAAGGGAGTTCCCTATTATGAGATAGGCTCTTAATATGTATATAATGTATAAAATGTATAAAAAATAGTATATGGCAATATTACACATTCTAATATATTTTTTGAAAGATAAGAAACAATTTGGAGAACAACTTAAGAGAACACAAACTGTAACAAGAACGTTCTATATACAGGGTGAGTCTTTCCATATTCGACAAAATTTTTGAGAAGGTAGAACGGATCGAGATGAACGGAAAAGTCCTGTACCATTTTGCAATTTTCGTAATAGTTAACGAGTAATTAATTATGAAAAATCGTTGTCTTAGGCCGGCCTACCGCCCAATTCGAGCGCGTGGCAAGATGTGACCGCCTGGCGATCGATATTGCTATGCGCACATCTCGCCACGCGCTC